ATTATATTTGAATATTGAGATTTACCAGATAAAAAGAAACAAACTTTACTAACTCACAGGGAAAATCTTAAAATTTTAAGGTGTTTTTAATCAAAATCAGTTTTTTTGTTGCTACTGCTCAAACTTCAAAATGTAGTTTTATGATTATATTTCAGACAGTTCATTCAAATGATACATTAAAAAGGCTTTTACTCATATTTTGACAAAATGCAATTTTTGTTAACATTTTAGTCAAAACACTATGTTTGCCTTTTTCTCCTTTTACCACTGTTAGACCTAATCCTGGTTTYGATGTGWYGGSTCACATATTGTAATGATGATATCAGATGTGAAWTAAGTTTTTTTCTCTTTTCTTTCTGTCTAATCTGTACTTCCTACTCTGTGACTTTCAGTATTTTAGGTAAAGTCATGTGTGTGTCTGCTGTGAACCCCTGCTGCTGTAAGGCTCTGTCCTACAGGCTAAATATTGCATTAACATGAAAAACACAACTTCAAAACTCTAAACACTTTAGTCAACAACTACTGCATTCCTTTGCAGTATAAATATGGTGCACAGTTTTATTGTGATGATGATATTTTTCACAATATGCAGAACTGTATAACCCTAGTAAAGCCTTTTGTTGGGTGGTTTGCCCACATTATTAAGAGACATTTGAAAAAAGAAGAAAATAAAATATAAAAACACATTTTGTTTTGCAGTGTGGTTAATTTMTGACACATTTCTGCACAGGACATTTATGAATCTTTCAGGTTTCCAGTAGTAAACTCATTCCTACAGCCTGGTCCTGTCCTCTCAGCACATGCTTCATGTTCAGGTTGTTGCAGCAGTGGGACTGGTTTGTTCTCAGGTCCAACAAACAAACTGGTTTTTAAAAATGAGCAGGTAAACGTCAACATAAACCAGTAATAAGAGCAGGCAGGTGTTCCTCTGACTGCAGCCATTATTTCATGTCATCAAACAAAAAACAGCCAATAAATCTTATCAGTCTTTAGCTTCACATGCAGGTCCAAACATTGATCCAATGCATGTCATCACTTTCACTGATTTCAATGTTCGGTTCGGTTAGCTCAGCTACAGATGCTACAAGCTAACCTTAATGTTTAAGAAGATAAAGAGCTCATAATTCAACATGAAACTGTCACAAGGAGAAACACAGCCCGGGTGGAAACTAATGTGGATTTGGTTCCGTTTACATGAAACAAAACAAGACGTAAGGTCCGCAGWGTTCCTGACAGAAAACAGGACAACAACAAAGGCTAGCCAGTCCGAACCGGGCTGAGCTCTGCGCTTTGTACACATTTACAGCTTTTAAAGAACCGAGACTCGTCTACAAAACACAACTAACACACACAGTCACACAAACACGGAAAATATACACAGGCTACAGGAAACATCGTTTCTGTTCTTACATTTTCAGCGCACGGGCCGAAACAACACCAGCGCGTTCAGACGAAAGCAATATGGCAGGAAGACGCACCGGAAGCGACGCATTCTGGGAAATGGAGTTCTTCTTGTGGTGTTTCATGGTGGTTGGCAATAAACTGAAGGTGTGCATTACCGCCACCTACTGGTACGGAGTGTGGTTCAAGATGATTTCACTAATATTTATATCCTACTAAAATTATTGTATTTCTTTTTACATTTTCAAAACTATCTATTCAAAGAAAATAAATAAATAATACAAAAAACCTACTGTCAAACTCAAATTCTGTTAAACAATTTTGTCTTTTTCAAAAATCGTATCATGATTTGTATGTTTGCTCACTAAATTCCTTTGTAATGTATCTATTATGTCAAAYCTTTCCTTAATGTTTCTGAACTGTTTTATCATAAATTGTCTCTTGTTTGTAATTCTGACTTTCTTTTATGACATGTTCTATGTTTCATTTTGTCCACAATAATCACATTTTCTTGTATTATGTTTTTATATTGCAAAAAGTGTAAAATTAAGTCCTGTATGTCCAAATCTCAACCTTGTTATCACTCTTTCTTCTTTTCTGCTCCTTTTTCCAGCTCTGGTTTCTCCTACCAGCCTCTGGATCTTATAAAACCTCCTCCCTTTTTTACCTCTCTCCATCTCTTCTGACACTCTTTCTTCAGTCTTTCTTTAATTATATTTTTTGCATCAGATTTACTTGTCTAAATTATAATATTAATCTCACTTTGAACTGCTTTCTTTGCCATTTTATCTGCTTTTTCATTTCCTCTTACCCCTGTATGTGCTGGTACCCTGAGAAAAACAACAGTTAACCCATCCTTTGTGTTCTGAATAGTGTGTGACTAATGGGAAATGGAGTTGGTAGGTTTATTAATTAATTAATTAATTAATTAATTAATTAATTAATTAATTAATTAATTAATTTGTTTGTTTGTTTGAGAGGTAATGGTGGTTGCAAACCAAATGAAAGGTGTATTAGCGCCACCTGCTGGACTGGAGTGTGAACAGAAGGGTGACATGAAACAAAACAAACATTACATACTGTATATTTCTGGGCCTGCCTCCCTGGAAAACACTTCAGAGGGCAGCTTGGAGSAAACTGTAGACTACAGTGTGTCAAAAGATGTGGTTGGAGCTTTGAAAAAAATCAAAACAAATGGGATTATCCCTGAGTTACTTAACATTAGATTATAGTGACACAGCCTATACAAAACCTGTCAAATATTAACCAAACAAATTGTAGAATTTCAGTAATTTCAAGTGATAAAATCATGTATTTGATGGGTGACTATATCAAATCTTTTTTGTATTTAAAAGTATAAAAGAATATATATATAT